TTTTTTTTTTTTTTTTAGGTATTTAGTTGTTGAAGGTTCTCACTACGCAGCTCAGACTCATGGTGATCCTCCTGCTTTCAGCCTCCCCGGCACTGGGATCACATGCATGTGCCACCATGCCTAAACTCTGGGCAACTTGGCCCACCCCGGGGATTGAACCATGGTCCCTGTTCTTGCCTAAGCAGGCACTTCAGTCTGCTGAGCTGTCTCACCAGCCCTCTCCTGTAATCCTTACCAAAGCCTTGAATGTTAGGTGAAATGTGGATGATTATCTCACTCTACATATAAGAATATTAAGGAGTTCTGACTCCTTTTCTGCTTCACCCCTACTCTACCATACTATTCTAAAACAGTGTGACAAATTCCAGTTAATTACAAACTCCTCAGGCTAACATGGAATACAACCCTCACTGATAATGGTAGCTTCCTATGAAGCTATGAAGACATCTGAAGAAATACAAATAGATGGTTGTTGCTTGTACCAGCCTTTGGATGGTACAGGTGTGGCTCACTGATTCAGCAGTGCCAGCAGAGACAAGACACATTGCAACACAATGCCTGGCCTTGGGTAGGCCTGGGGCCACCTCTAGCTCCTTTCCATGCATTCGCAGGTAGGAGTGTTAAAAAAAGAAGAAGAAAAAAAAAAAAAAGAACAAAGGGCCAGAGATATAGCTTAGTGGCATTGGTGCCTGCCTGGTAAATGCAAGGTTCTGAGTTCAATCTCTGGTACTACAGAAGAAGAAGGAAGAGGAAGAGGAGGAGGAGGAGGAAGAGGAGGAGGAAGAGGAGGAGGAAGAGGAGGAGGAAGAGGAGGAGGAAGAGGAGGAGGAAGAGGAAAAATGATGCATGTAGGTAAACAGCCTCTTGACACTTTGTGTGAAGGAATTAAGAGGTGAGATGTTGTATATGCTTTAACTTTGTTTTGTACAGGGAGAAAAAATCTATTTGTACTCAGTAGGTTTAATTTACAATCAAGACTAAAACTAAGTAAACTCTATGCTCTCCTTCAGCTCTAAAATTCTAAGGCTCTAACTACAAATCAGAGCTGGATAAAAAAAGAAAGGAGGGAAGGAAAACTCCAAGAACCAGCTTTCTGGTGCTTCATTCAAAATTGCTTGGGAATCAAGCATGAGTAAGTCATCCCCGAGTCTCAATACCTTGCAATAAAACAGATTCTTCCTCTTTGAGGTCCGCGTCCACTCAGGTAGGCTCTGCTCTCTATAGTCATGCAGGGATCCAGGCTGCTACACAGCTGCTGGTTACCACGCTGAAGGGAGAGAGAGCTGTACGGAAACTACACTGGCAATGTAAGGGCCCAGCCCATTAGGACACAAATTATTGTGCTTTGTTCAGGTTTTTGGGCAGACTAGTTACCTATTCCCCATCAACCACTAGGGGACCATGAAGCACACTCCCTTTTTATTCCCAGAAGGCACAAATATTGCAAAGTCCGTAATATTTCCTGAGAATCGTATTAGTCTGCCTTATTAGGATCTAGGTCCACTTGAGTAAGGGGATATGGAATTTTACTCATACTATGGCCTGACATACAACCAAGAAGAAACCCTACAAACTGCAGAAAATGAAGGTTTTTCTGAAGGGTAGTTCTTTCTTTTTTAAGTAATGTAAATCTCTAGTTAATTAGAAACAATGAGATAATAAAATGACCATGATTATGTTTGGCTGCATTATAGTCCTTTGATCCTCTTCTCTTAGCAGCATGACTGGCAAGGCCCAGCATCCCCCAAGGTGTGTGCTGCCTACAGATCCAAGGAGGCACTGCAAGGTGTAAGGCTGGCAACATTAGCTGCCACCCTGCTCCTCATTGCATTTGTGGCTCAGTGTCAAACACATTTTGGTGTTTAAAAATGCACAAAGCTAAAAGGCACCTAGAGGGCTTAATTTCTAGATAAAAATTAAGTTGGAAGTTATTCAAATATTATCATCGTATAGTTTCAGGAAGAGTTAACAATGCTGTCTCCTTGCTAGAAATAAGACTCAGGTGATCCCAGCGAGCAAACAGCACACTCTCTTGTTTACTAAGCCTCCAGATCCAGGGCCAAAGGCTGCAGTCATAGTATGGAAGCCAAGAGGAAATATTGACTTTTTCAGATGCTCCTCCATGTTTCCATGTGCTAACATCTCTTGGCGTTTACTCTCAGTGACTGAGAGTTGCTACCACCATCACCACCTCCCTCCACAGCATCTCCTACATACAAGGCTCTGGATGTGGACTCCTTCAGCCAACCACCACAACACTTTCTTTCAACTGAGCAAACTGAAGTTGAATAAAGAAGCCATAGTTTTTCCAAAATTACTCTCATACTGGCTGCTGAACACAATATTTGAAACCAGGACTTGCGACTTCAAAGCCGTGCTCTTCCCATGTCTGTCTTATAGTCCTTCAAGTGCTTTGGCAAGATCTATACTTGAAGGAATTTTAATAATATAGGTGATGTATACATTTTTTAAAAAATCATTTTCTCTAAATGCTATTTGAACCAAAACTTTTTAAAGTTTTTTATTCATTTTAATGAGAAAAAATAGCAATGAAACAGTTTCAAAACAGGTTAGTAGGACAGTTATAATAATTAATACTTTGCATATTGTTGTCTTCATAGTAGTTATTCAGAGGACAAGATGCAAACATGATATCTTGTCTAGACAATATCAGTACAGACTTTTCTTCTCATTGAATGAATAGAAGGTAAGCTGTATATCTATCCTAACTATTTTGCATGTACATTATATATTTTTTTCACTACAAAACAGTCCTTCATTTAAGTCTCCCTTTTTTGTTTTGTTTTGTCAGAGATGGGCATTCCATTGTTGTTAGAGAAGCTGTATTTAGAGAAGTCTTTAAAGGGCCTTTTCATACTTGATGCCAGTTTAACTGTTGTAGATACTTGAATTCAGCAGCAAAATAGCCCAATATAGTCCAATAGTCTGTAATTGTAGTGGGTTGTCAGCAGAACTGGCAAATGTCTGAAGTTGTTGACTTCAGCCTTTTATAGCTCAGCCTTATACAGCTCAGCATATTAATATGGCATTACTTTTATACCTCATGGTTATACTTGGTTAAGACCAAGTTAAAGCAAGACCTATATAAGTAAAAATGTAGCTTTTGTATCTGGCAAGGTCAGTCAAATCCCCCCAGTATTTACTCTGAGAACATAAAATTTGAGAAGGATTTTTTTTTTTTTTTTTTTTTTTTTTTTTTGCTACTTCAGGCTGCCTTAAGGGCAGGTCTAGTGCAGCTTCTGGAGCTTGGACTCAAACCTCGGTCCTGTGCACCTGCCTGCATTTGCGTAAGCAGCACTTCAAACAACTGAGTTATCTGGCAAGGCCCCCAAAACTCTTAAAAGTAAAGTTTGGATATAGCAGCCATTAACATGATTGTCCTATTTTACTCTTATCCCTTTGAAGAGTCAAGCTGATAAATAAAGGGCTTGAGAAATCCTGAACTTGATTTATAGCTTGCAAACAGAAGAATGAGCCTGACATACACACCAGCCAGTATTTCTATTAGCATTTCACTACTGTGATTAATCAGCGGGTAAAATATAAACAACCTTGGCCTCCAGATTTTGCATACCATTGCTTATCTCTTAGACTAAGTCCATCCTGTGTACTAGGGACTCCTGCTGCTGTGATTTCTGCTGCTCTGGAGTTCTAACTGGAAGAGTCACCACCACAAGTCATTAGACGTACATAAAGTAAGTATCCAGATGTAAACTCTGGCTCCTTCGGGCAAAAAGGGTGGGGCTGGGATTTTTCCTGTTTTTTTTATTGTACTTTAGGGCAGAACCACATCACGAGAACAGAGCTCCCTCTGCCCGTGACCCCAGAGGAACTATAAAGACACTCTCTGTTCCAAAGTACAGAACAGTGCTTGAGTACTTATAGCGGCACAGGAAAGCCAGACAGTGAGTCTTCTGTGTACTGGTAAGTATCCTTCTGGGTAGATTATTAAGTGATTAAACCAAACCTTAAGCAGAAAGCTTTTTATTTCTAAGGGAAAGGGGAATCAATGAGTTTTCTTAAATATAGTACTTTCTTCACAACAGCTTCTAGCATGGTCGGAGACAATGGTTCAGGAGGTTGTCTACCTAACTTCACATTTGTTTGGCACAGGAGGCAAGTGAAAAGCAAGCCACCTCCAAAATTTTACTGACTTGAGCTGGAATTTGTTATCTTTTTCTGTTGCTAAGTATTTCATGTTCCATTCTATGAACTGTATCAAAATTTCTTGATTTTTATGCCAGATCATTTTTGTTAATCCCACTTCCAGTTAAATTCACAAAGTCATAAATATCAGGTTTCCAAATTCACTTCTAGAAAGCCAGTTCAGTGTTCGGTGTTTTACAGATGGAGAAGCGAGTCTTCATCCTTGATTATTGCTTAGAGTTCCCCCTCTGTCACAGGGAAATTGCCATGACCTTGTAACTGGCAGAAATTTTGCTTTCTGGAGCTTGTGTTAGGAATAGTCTTGTGAGGTATAAGGTTGCTGCTAGAGGACAGAGTCCTACCACAACCCAAGTCTCCTATTAGCTTGTGCCCATGTCCTCAGGTGCTGGGAGGCATCTTCAACCAGCTCCAGTTATAATCTAGCTGGACCTACTATTTCTGATTATACCAGAACTGCCACAGCCAGATTAATTATGTGCTACTGTTGTGCAGTCTGTGTGACTCAGGATTCCAGGACATTTTCGTGTGCTGAGAGGTGTGTGAGACAGAGGGTGTGGAAGAAGGAATCAAGAGGGTTGGCATGCATCCGTGCATAAAGGGCTGTGTAGGAGACTGACAACACCAACAAGGCGGGCTTTTTAGTAAATGCACAAGGGAGTCATTCTGGCAACAGTTAAACCCTGGCTAATGACCCATCGCTGGGTTCAGAGAAAGAATAAGGGGGGTGGTAGAGGGATGGATATGACCATAATATATTATATGCCTGTGTGAAAATGCTATCTTGAACGCTAATATTTTATAAGATTGATAGTCACTAAAACAGAGTTTTAAAAAATAACAGCTTAAACTCAATAAAATATACAGAGAAAGTAAGATTTTCACCAGGAGGTTCCCAAATCTTCCAGGTTCGGGGTGCGTTAGTGTGTGGGTGGTCGCTTTACAGCACCCCCAGGCTGCCTTTGCTCTCGAGAAATCAACTGGTGCAAACAACTTAGTAAGTGTTTACATTCTAACAACTATACAGTTGTTAGAACAAATAATACACAAATGGAAAGTCAGTGAATATCATTATTACATTCTTTGTGACAGCTGCTTAGCAATGGGATTCACGTGCCTGCTGGTGACTGTCCAACTTCTCCAACCTTGGATCAGAGAGGACGTGGCCTTTCATTTGCTGTTTGATCTTGATTTTCCTGCTGCCCTTTCCTGTGACCAATAGCAGGTGCTGACCATCTGCTTTGAATGGGACACAACCTAATCACACCTTGAAACTAAAAAACCTTGAACGCTCAGTGTCTAACCGACCATCACTGTGTTTTTCCAGACCGTGTAAATTTACATAAGGAAGCCCTCCGGCTTAGGAATGACAGCCCCAGCATCCTGTTCCGATAACCCCTTTATATTATCTCAACAATATGTTTAAGTGGACCTTTGGCCTGATTTCAATACATTACACATTTACAACTTCTTTTTTTATTAATTTTATTGAGAAACAAATAATGAGAC